TAAATAGAATCCAATGATCATTCCGAATTGTAAATGACTTCATAAACTTTTACTTACATCATAACACCAAGAAAAGTCCGGAATGTTCAGTGGATTCTATTCAAGAGCACTTCGAATTTGCAGCCCATAATATTTACAAGAAGAGGAATATATATATATATATACAAAAAGAAGGAAGAGTAAGATATATAATCCGGTGTTCTTATTAATTATTTTTATTTTTACAATACAGCACTCAATGCAAATCTACAGAGCATAAATCTTATAAATTTACTAATTTAAAAATATGGTTCCATCGGTACACAGGAATTACCATGTTTCAAAAACAGAAACTAAAAACTTCAAATTCAGTTATAGAGTTAAATTAAAGTCCTTTGTCCTGTTTCATTTTCAAGTGAATTTTGGAATAACTTATTTTGAAATTTACTGAGTTTTATAAGCACATACATTCATCATATTAATTTCTAAGGATACGGGGAAATTGAATCATTTTGACAATATTTAACGATTAATCCAAGGAATTTTTGTCCTAATTTGTTCTTTACCATTTGGTTGTATTGTAGGAGTGTATACCAAATTATTTTTCTACTTTTGTTTTTTCTATGGTTGGCATTTTCATTTTTTATTTTAGTTATGGACTTTTGTAGCCATTGCCTTTTAGAGATTTATTATAAAAATAAATATGTTCATAGAAAATCTTCTCATTTGCTGAGTTTGTACTTATTCTCTTTTCGATAGATAAAGATGTATGTTTAATTATAGATGGAGGCTGATTAGATTTAGAGTGTATATACAAAGGATTAATATTGTTTTGTTTTTTTTTATATTAAGGAAGTTCACCTAAATTACTGTAAGCACTAAATTGAAAAAGGTGAACTTCCTTGATAACATTAGATTTAATGAAAAATATTTACATACCTTATAAAAAAAACAAAAATTTACTAAAAGATTATATATATATATATATATATATATATATATATATATATATATATATACAGTATGTCTACGAAGGCTTTAGGCAATTTCAGAAAGTCATTACAAATAACGGTAGATACATGGTGTCCATAATATATTTTAACAGTTTCAAAATGTAATTTGTCATGACTTTTTGAAATTATTTAAAGACTTTGTGGACACCTTGTATATTAGACTTTGTCATCCATATGTGTATTTCCCGATAATTTTACATAAATATACTTTTGCTCGATCTCCGACGATACATATCCCCTCGGCTTACTTTGGCTTACGCTTCGTCGTTTTCCACACCTAATAGCTGTGTGCAAAATTGTCCAAAGTGTTTAATTTGAAAAGTCCTGTGTCTAACTCTTATTCAGATTTCGTATTTTCAAAATGAACGCATTGGGAAATTTAGCACGCAATTAATACGTTCTATCTCACTTCCATTTATTAATTCACTTGCTGATCCAAAACGTATATTCTCCCTCAATCTCAAAGCATTTATTCTCTCTCGGCCACCGAATAACATTCCCTCTGTTGAAGCTTGGATAAGCATGGAATAATAATAATACAACACAAAATGTACGTAAACAAAATGTATTGAAACAAGGGAAAGGTACACAATATTTACAGTTAGTTTTGGTATATTCTTGGGAAGACTGTTCCTGTAGAATGGGTTGACTTAATCGCAGTCGGGCAGAGTCTCTGGATTGGATCTCTTCCTACTCCCCTCGTCTTCCCGGTACCAAACCATATTTATATGGTCGGTACTCCACTATGTAAATTAGGTGGATCGTACCACAACACCCTCCTTCTTCTCCAGATGTCTATTCCATCCCGGCCTCAACATCTATAACACGGGTCTACAATATGAAAGTTTCAAAAACAAAAAAAAGATAGATTGGGGTGTACTGGAAATAAAAAGATATCAAAATTTTTGATTCACTTTAGATTTCAAGATACGGTTCTAGTACTATATTTTTTTCAAAATTGTTGCCTTTGCAAGATGAATAATTATTTTTTAACAACCTTATTACATATAATTATTCTCCTAATAAACGAATTATTTTCCTTTCTACACAGGTTTTCACACATTTAACTAAACTCTGAAAAATGTCCCGTGAATCTTTCTTTCAAAGCCGATCACTTCTGATATTTTTTGCGCCAAAGTGACTTTTGCATTCCAAAAGAGAGACATAAAACTTGTTGTGAGAAAATCGTACAACTATAATTTCGATGCAAAATACAGGCTGATTATTCTTGGAATGTAAACAGAGATGATCCTTCTGCAACGTACTAAAAGACAAACTAAGAAATGACGTGCGGACGCTGCAGAACTGCTTGTATATATTTCTGAAGAGCGTTTTCTGGTTGTATTTTATTTAATAAACATATTGTAATAAAGTAATCGCGTTTTATCTCATTTGTTTTAGGATTATCACCCTTTGGAGAACTCTTTCGTTTGTAGAGGACTATTAATAGTCATTACACTTGTATCAATTACTCTAAGGAGATTAAAGCTTCCTTAAGTCTTCTCTATTCTCTTTTGTTATTACACATATATACAACCATTTTTATATGTTATTTTTATTGCTTTGATAGCCTAACTGTAATTGAAAAGCAGATTTTGCAAGGCAATATTGTTTTTTCTTGGAGACAGCCGATGTAGCCATATGTATGACATAATTGACTAAATGTCTATAAATCTAGACCCAATCTATTTTAAAGGTTATTTTCGTAGTCAGCATGCCAAAATATGTAAGAATTTAAATATTTCATTTCTAGAGTAGTAAACGTAGGACTTATTGTAGAGCAGTATAATACGATTCAGGCTCTTGATATATATTCCACTTCGACATCTATATATTTCCCCTTCATATATTTTTCTTTTCTCTTTATTGCTTCCTTCAACCTCCATACATATATTCCGTTTTGTTTTATATTTATTTATTCTTCTTTTATTATCCATGCATTTATCCACCCCCCCCCCTAGACCACACATAACTCGGTTTCTACATATCTTGCTTCAGGTGAGGCGCGGATGAAAACGCCTGGTCCAAAGCCGTTATTGAACTGGAAGCTAGAACTGGAGGTTTGATTCAAAATATATCTGAGATATCTTTTGCATAAGGCTAGTGAAATCTTAGCAGCGTCTTTAGAGTTTACGCAAGATTTTATTACCTGTGCAATTTGTCATGTTCCCTCAAAAACAAACATCAGACTTTCCAGCCATCTTTGATCATCAAAACTTGCAATGCAATGTCAATTGTTATTTACTGTCTTATTGATTTCTCTTTCTTCATTGTTCTGTCTTCTTAATAGCGTTTCTTTTTTTATTATTCTTTATCGCTCAGTAATCCCTTGTCTATCTAGTGGTTTTATTGCCTTGCTTTGGGGGAAATGATTAAAAAAATCAGTTTTGAATCAGTGGAGCTGTTGATGATATTGTGAAATACTTGGAATCGCTGAGTGGAAAAATAAAGCAAAAATATGGTCAGTTTGAATACTACGCCGCATGCAGAAGAACTTCCCATTCCACCTCTGTGATAAATAACCGTGACAAACCGCCAACGAGCAAGGTTTATTTTATCTGACTTTTTAATGGAAGACCAACTGATTGCCTGAATTATCACGATTAAAAAATACAAATTGATTACACTTATTTGATTTGATTTTATACTTCAATTGGCGGATTTATTTTCGGTTTGCATTTTTTTGCGAATTCGTTAAAAAGTATTAAATTCTAAAAATACCTGGATGCACATTAGCCACGAATCGCCATTTTATATCCTGTTTGCCACGTCCATGCCAGACTGAGTTTAAAAATATTTAACACTTTTTTGTCCAGAAACAAAACCGAAATGTAGATATGTAAACAATGTTTGGCAACATAAAATTATTTCGTCCTAGAATTCCATATCAGTTAACATATTACCATTAAAAAAGAAATAAACTCTCTCTCTCTCTCTCTCTCTATATATATATATATATATATATATGTGTGTGTGTGTGTGTGTGTGTGTGTGTATATATATATATATATATATATGTAAATATTATATATGTATGTATATATATATAAAATATATATTTATATATATATATATATTTATATATATATATATATATATATATATATGTATGTATGTATATATATATGTATGTATGTATATATATATATGTATGTATGTATATATATATATATATATATATATAATTTTATATATAAATATATATATATGTGTGTGTGTGTGTGTGTGTAGTTATACTCGTCTTGAAGAGCCTTAGGTGTTTTGGCTTGTAAATGAACAAACCAATGCCCAAGGAAAAATAAGGAATAGAAAAAGAAAGAACTAAGAAAATGTAATTCAGGTGAAAGCAATGGTCCAGAATTCAAGCTCAGAGTCCAAAGAAAAAAAACCTCCAAAACGAGTAAAACAAAAGTAACTAATTAAAGTGCTCAATACACTAAGTAGAGCAATAGAGCAAATCTAACTATGAACCTAAAGAGCCAGTGCACCCTGACGATCCATGTAGGTGAAACCAAGGTACGTTTACCTGGCTCTTTAGGTTCATAGTTATATATATATATATATATATATATATATATATATATTGCTTATTTTATCGATCACATAGCATGAATAACCGGATTCCTCGTAAGAGTCTATCTTATGATCTCAACGAATAATCCGCTTGTCAAATATTGTTAGCCTGGCACAACATGTTTATATATGGATATAACTGATTCGAAGTTAAAATATTTTGACGGATTAAAATCGATATCTCGAACAAGTGGCTTGTTTCATATGCAGCAGAACTTCGAAAATCATTTCTGTAATCCCGACAAGCATCAGATTGTGTGACAAAATCCCGTGTGTTTGGTACGAGTCGTATTTCGTTGCTGGATGGCATGTTGGCGCCAATGGTACAGAGAGAGAATAAGACTCGATTTCTAAAAATTCAAAGGTTACAGAAAGTTTTTTTTCCCATTCCTTCAGTCATCATGAGAGGTTTTAGGAGAAAACCAATCGTACTTTCTAGAAGAGGAAAGAGAGTAAGAAAGAGAGAGAGATAAAAAGAGAAATAAAGTGACAGAAGAAGGGAAAAGAGAAAAGAAAGAGACAAAAATACAGATAGGGAAAAAAAGAGATTGGGAAAAGGAGTAAAGGAGATAGAAAAAGAAAGAAAGAAGAATGAATAGGGGTGGAATTAAAATAGAAAGAGTAAGAACGAGAAAGGCAGAGACGAAAATAAATAGATAGAGTGAAAGATAAGAATAGAGAGAAAGTGTAAAAGTGAGAGTAAAGAGTGATAGACAGAAAGAAAGATAATGATATGGAAGTAAAAACAGAAGGATAGAGAGGCAAAGAAAGAAAGAAAGAAAGAAAGACACTGAGAGAAAGAGAGAATGAAAGAGAAAAGAAAATTGTGGCGGATATAGAGAAAAAAGTAAGAGGGGTAAAGTAAGATTGAAGGAAAATAGAAAATCTAAGAAAAATAGACACGCATAGAGAGCGAGAGAAACAGAAAAATGAAAGAATGAAAGAAAGATTATGTGAGAAAGGGGAAATGGAATGGAAAGCAAAAGATTGGCAGAGAGAAAAAGAGAAATTAAGAAATAAAGATAAAAGGAAAAATAAAAAGTGTAAGAAATATACAAACAAATACAACCCGAAATAAATAGAAAAAAGAAAGAAAGAAAAAAGAAAGAAAGATGGATAGCGATAGAGAAAGAGAAAATTCATAGAAATAGGAAGAATGAGAAAAAGGTAAAATTAAAGAGGGAAATAGAAAAAAAAGTTTATAAGACGGAGAGAAATTGAAAGAACGAGTGAGAGAAATTGTAACGAAAATGACGATTATTGTGTGTGCTTGCATTATTTGGTGAATGAATTTTATAACATTGATTACTTATGAATAAACTGTAATTGTTTTTAATTAAACTTCATTTGTGGTAAAGATTTTCATTAAATGAAACATGCTTATCCTTCAAAAAGAAACATTTCCAACGTAGCGATAATTTGGCAAAATTTTTCACGATTTCTTCCGAGCTGAACAAAGCTATATTTCTCTGGATCTCTTCAGTTCATATATGCAAAAACATGTATATCTTTAGCACAGATAATCTTATAGAACATGCACAAGTGAAATGCTGAAATCCTCTATTTTAAAATAGAATAATGGATCCAAGCTTTGGTTTGTAGATTTGGTGAGATAATAGTTATGAATCCAGTCTCTGAGCCAAGTAGTACAAACCTAGACTCAGTGAAAACAGGGGGAACAGTTACTGACCAATATTAAATAAGAACTAGACAGGATCCAACTAGATCTGCATAAATTAAATAAAGGTTCCAATACTAAATCTTCTGAAGGTCCAAGATCAAAATACATCTGATGAAAACTACAGGCACAATGTTCGAAACGTATTAATAATGAAAAAAAATGAGAACCAAAGTCTACATAAGAATAATGTATAAATAACTGAATTTTGATGTATATAAATTAGGTGCATTGACAAGATAAGAAAATGACAACAACCAAGCAGTCCGATCAGCAGACAGGCTAGTTTTAGGGCTCCAAGTTCTCAAATAAAGATTTCCCCACAAGACTAGAACTAGAACAGTCTACCCCAGTGTGCGAAATAAAGGGTTCAGTTCGACATTCCAACCACTTGAAGAAGATTGGAGAGAAGGTGTTGGATGGGTTAGAGGATTACTTGATATTTAGATAGAATTTTCCCTCTTGCAAACCCAACAAGGAAGACGTTTGCCTCCAAAACTAGTAAAGTTACCGGTGTTTGCATCCAGAGAATGGCGTGAAGAAAGCAAATATATTTTGAAGGATTGTAAATGTAAGAATTAAAAGTTGCATTATTTGCTTGAAAAACCTTCAAAATATTTGGTTCTGCAGGGTTCTTACAAAATCTCGATCCGAATTTCTTCGGAAAGATCAAGATCAAATCTTCCTAATCCTCTGAATCACTTTCGTTAGCATTTTCTTCCATGTTTTCCTCATCAAAAAGCTCTGGTCATGTAGAATTACTCCATCTTATATGCTCAGGGATTTCCCTTAACTTCCGCTACTTTTAAACCGTATACACGGAGAGGGCATATACCCTTTTTCTTGCTCTCTTCACCCCCAGAATACTGTAGCGAGATGGCCTGACACGTTTGGTCTCCACATTAAACCGACCTTGTGTCGCATCTTGTTCTAGTGGGGGAACGAGTAAATACCAGTGCGTGCTCTCGCGCGTGAATTATGCGCCATGTGGTTTAGTGGAAACTAAACCATTCGCGGACAAACACCTGGATTCGACAAACAGTTGAGTTTGCTGGAATTTGTAACAACGAAGAAGTAAACAAGGAATCGGTATTTCAAGCCAGGACAGAGCAAGTGCTCTTCGTGTTTGAAACTTCGATATTATTCTTGACTTTACCGGCTATTTAAAGATAAAAATATTTTTTTTTCAGATTCTAAGATATTATCCTTTGCATTACCCGTATATCCAAGCTTACAGAACCTGATATTCCCAAGGGGTCTTCCATCCTGGTATTGACCAGGCTCGACGTTGCTTAACTTCGGTGACCGTACAAGAAATGATATTTCAACGATATGGCCACAAGCTGTCATATCGTGAGAGTCGAACAGGTGTTTCATGGTCACAATGCTAACTCTAATTTTCGGCCACACGCCCATTTGGGGACTGTAACGTTATGCCTGTTATGTGAGTGACTCCATTTTTGTATCGCCATTTTTAACCGAAAGGAAAGAAGAGCATGTCTTCATTTCTCAAGGTTTATAAATCTGTCGACAAATGAAAGATCAGTAGAATGTTTCGGGAAATATCGTCAAGTATAAAAGAAAATTGAATTTCGCGAAAACTATTTGAATGTTAATGATTCTCCTCCACGTACAAAAAAGAAAATTAATGTTTTCAAATCTCAAAGCATGACACAAAATGGGCGGCCTTGTATTAGACTAAGCTAAAAGTCGTGCCTGTCAATATGATACCTGCTAGAGGATGATGGATAAAAAAACAAGTGAGAAAGTGTACGACCTTGCTGCCATATTGTATTTCCGGTTCGTTCTAATTTAGATTCTGTTTTTTTTTTTTTCTAAAGTCAGACATAAAGTTATTTTCAACGGGACACAGTTTATTTGATCTTTTATTGAAGCTGTTGGAGAATCGGAATTTCTGTCAGATAAATAATAGAATTAATTACTAAACAATAATATACGCTAAACAATTGCAAAAGAGCGCCGACAAAATAATTGAATCACGAATCTAAGCGTGATTTACATTTAGATTTTCTCATGTAGACAACAAAAGCTAACAAATTTTAACACACCACAAGATAGAAACGAATGCGCTGATAGATAGATAGATAGATAGATAGATAGATAGATAGATAGATAGATAACAATAGGAACAGGAAGATGTGAACTAATAGATACAGGGATATGAACAGACGTAGATACGATCAAACTGACAGATAGATAGACAGATAGATAGATAGATAGATAGATAGTTATGAAAAGACGTAGATGCGAATACATAGATAGATAGATAGATAGATAGATAGATATAGATAGATAGATAGATAGATAATAATAACAATAGAACAGGAAGATGAACTAATAGATACAGGGATATGAACAGACGTAGATACGATCAAACTGACAGATAGATAGACAGATAGATAGATAGATAGATAGATAGTTATGAAAAGACGTAGATGCGAATACATAGATAGATAGATAGATAGATAGATAGATAGATAGATAGATAGATAGATAGATAACAATAGGAACAGGAAGATGTGAACTAATAGATACAGGGATATGAACAGACGTAGATACGATCAAACTGACAGATAGATAGACAGATAGATAGATAGATAGATAGATAGATAGTTATGAAAAGACGTAGATGCGAATACATAGATAGATAGATAGATAGATAGATAGATAGATAGATAGATAGATAACAATAGGAACAGGAAGATGTGAACTAATAGATACAGGGATATGAACAGACGTAGATACGATCAAACTGACAGATAGATAGACAGATAGATAGATAGATAGATAGTTATGAAAAGACGTAGATGCGAATACATAGATAGATAGATAGATAGATAGATAGATAGATAGATAGATAGATGTAAACATACGTAGATACGGATAAACAGATACATATAAATAGTCTAAGGTAGATATGAACTGATAGATACAGGGATATGAACAGACGTAGATACGATCAAACTGACAGATAGATAGACAGATAGATAGATAGATAGATAGTTATGAAAAGACGTAGATGCGAATACATAGATAGATAGATAGATAGATAGATAGATAGATAGATAGATAGATAGATGTAAACATACGTAGATACGGATAAACAGATACATATAAATAGTCTAAGGTAGATATGAACTGATAGATACAGGGATATGAACAGACGTATATACGATCAAACTGACAGACAGATGGATAGATAGATAGATGTGAAAAGACGTAGATGCGAATATGTATATATATATATATATATGTGTGTGTGTGTGTGTGTGTGTGTGTGTGTGTGTGTGTAGAGAGAGAGAGAGATTGATATACAGATACGTAGATACAAATAAATAGATACATAGATATGAATACAGTGAGGTAGATATGAACTGATAGATAGAGATGAACCGACGTAGATAAGATCAGACATAGATATTTATATAGATAGATATGTATGAACAGGTACGAATATATATATATATATATATATATATATATATATATATATAGAGAGAGAGAGAGAGAGAGAGAGAGAGAGAGAGAGATACGAATATATATGCATAGATAGATAGATAGATAGATAGATAGATAGAAAAAATTCAAATTCTGCAAAAAGAAATACTTGAATAAGTTTCCTGTTTGCGTTTTGTCCTCTCAGGATGTATTTAGTTATGGTTCTCCTCTACTTCCTCTCACCGTCCTGTGAATGACGATAAACTATGTCCAACAGCAAGGCCTCTGATCGGGAGGTTTTGAGGAGCGTGGAACCACCTCTTAATTGCTGGTGTTCCCAAGTCCACCCTGACCCGGGTTGGTAGCACCTGTTAGGGACCCGTCTATGGGCAAATAGTTAACCCCGAAACTGAGGTAAAATCATTATAAACGTGTAAAAATAGGTTTTAATAATAGAAATACTTTGTAAAAAATTACCAGAAATAAATTTTAGAAGAAAAATATTTTACCAGTAATACGTTTTTTGAAAAAAATCATATTACAAGCTATACGTTTTTGAGGAAAAAATATTAACAGAAATAGATCTTTGATAAAACAAAAAATATTACCAGGAAAAAAAGTTGTCGGCATTAAATGACCCATTGAGTTGATATGCCGTAAAACAAAACAAAACAAATCCTTCCTCTCTTTTCTTGCTCTAAGCAATGTTTTTTCTCTCCTTACTGTTCATTCCAAAATCTGCTCTGTAAGTTCATTAATTACTATCTTCCTCCCACCCCCGCCCCCGCCCGTCAACTTTTCGAGAACGCCTTCTTCATTATGTGTCCTAGAAATTTTCAAATGTGTCCTTTAGCTGAAATATCATTGGGATCAAGGCACATGTTGTTCGGAGATGATGTGAATCTAAAATGGGGGCGATATTCGTCGTTAATGCTTGATGAAAAGTGACTTTTTTTTTAATTGACCCAAAATGAGAATCACTTCTTGAACAGTCGACGAGTTCTTTTACTTTCAGTCGCACGTTCAGGATTTAGTACAACGAAGGAGATGGAAAGACAAATCCGAATTACCGTATTTTCCGGCTTACAAGACGCAATTATTTCCTAAAAAATACCCTGAAAAATACGTGTGCATCTTCCAAGACGAATGTAAGGCAACGCCCCAGGCTCAAGTCAGCTTGAATGGTTCCCTAATTGGCTTGACTATTAGGGACGTGGATTTGTATATTAAGTCATTACACTCTAATGTTAGCTATCTATTAAATTAAGCCTTTTATATGATGTTACCTGAATACTTAGCTCTTACAAATATTTCCAAGAATGAGACCTTCCTGAAGCCGAGCCACAAGCTTAAACATGCTCTGCTTACTAGCAGTGGCGGGAGTCTTTCTGACTAGTATGTCATTGCCATACAAAGAAAATTGGCGAGTGATTAATGTAAACAATACATGGTTCCGGTATGTGAGGGACGCATGGTGAATGTGTTGTTCTATGAAAAGGATATTTTTCTTAGAAATTTCTTTCGAATATTAGGGAGCGTCTTCCAAGACGCAGCGTCTTGTAAGAAGGAATTTACGGTAATTTCCTTGTCATGATTACTTTGAAATGGCGAGTTTGTGTTATACAAAAGCCGTTCCACGTCGATTCAATTATTTATATGCTACATTTATCCAACTTCAAGAATGAAAATGGGGTGAGAAAAAGGGAGATTAATCGACACAAGCATACGTGTATATTTCGAAATTCAAACAAATGACGGTTGACAGAAAGAAGCGCGATTCTATACTTTTTGCTAACCGTATACATTGTGTATTAATAATTTCATAAAACAATAAAATGACTAATTTCAATTCATTCGGTTTTTTTTTTATTTTATGGGAAAATTCATTTGAAATTATTATGTAAATTATAACCTAACACCGGTCCGGTTCACACTCCTCCCCGATCTTCTGAACAGTAGAGGTTTATCCTTTGTTTCATGTTTAGGATTGGTTTTTCGGTTATAAAGTTTTCTCATTGTCTTTCACTCCCAGTAACACTTTGCGTTTTAGTAGCATTGTTGCCTTGTTTGGGGTGAATTGATTAAAAGGAACTCAACGGTTTCTTATATAGGTGTGTATAATATGTGGTGATGAGCAGTGGAACTTAGCGCTTCGGCAACGATGACATGTGACTTCGTATTAGCAGTGACATTAATGACTTCTAAGCAACTTCATCTACTCAATTTCCCTCAGATACCTTGGGTCAGTCTGTAGTATGGTTTTATACGTAAACATGCCCACTGACACGAATACAACTCCACGGCCTCTTTGCATAGCTATGATCATTTTATATGATTTAAAATAGTTTTTTTGCCAGTTGATTGAAATGATAACAAAGAAGCAAATGTGTAGGTTTTGCATTGAAAATTCAGAAAAATGGACTGTTCAAGTCTGAAATTATGACATTCTACATCAGTTAATACAATTTGCTTTTAGTTGTCCAGAAAGTCCTGACTCACTTAGGAAGCGGAGAGAAAAAAATAAAATTGTATGGAGCAAAACCAATGTTTATTTTTTAAAATAAAGCCCATCAATCTCGATGATTCTGGCTTTAAATAATAACAAAACTGTAAAGAGGCTTCCTTCACTTCAGTAAAAGGAAGTGTGCCATTGAGCGGAATAGGCCATAGTCACTCGGAGCATCATCGGGACTGAATGGTAGATGTGGGAGAATCTCAATACCGTCTTTGCTTCCCTGATAACTACAATCTTCAAAATTTTAAATGCAACGTCAATCGCCATCTTCTGTTGCATTTATTTCCGTTCTTCTTTAGCCTTTCCTCAATCCACATTATACGCTGTCTTTTATACTCTTTAACCCCCTGCGTGCTAGTGAAACTCCCTGCCTTGCTTGAGGTGAAATGCTAAAAAAATCTGTTTGAAATTCTACTTAGTTACCCTGGCAGTGTGTGGCTAAGCATTATCTTACTGAAACGAAACCCGGCCTCGGTTGATCAAACAGGACACTTCTCTTTTAGTTTTTCGTACACTCGGTCTAGATATTGGCGTTGATGGCGCGACTGTGTGGGACAAACTCGAAAGGAAGTACTCCTTTGAAATTCCACGAGACAGAAAGGCAGATGTTTTCTTTCATCATTGTGAGTCGGAACTTTCTTACAAAGGGAATCCTTATAAGTCATAAACTATAAGCAGTTGAAGGAGAATATGGCAACAAATATGAGGACAACTCTTCAACCCATGTAAATAGTATAAATAATGACAATACCTCATCTCAGAAATTTAGACAGATAAAAAAACTGAATAGTTCTTCTACAATTTACATATATTATAAAAACATTTATATTATAATAGATTACAATAAAAACATTTTACATCGCTACACAGAAAATTTCATGTTTCGGAAATATAATCATTCCTCTTCGGACGATGGAAGAAAACATATACTACACGCACACACACACACACACACACACACACACACACACACACACACACACACATATATATATATATATGTTTTTAAACATATATATATATATGTTTTCTAACATGGCCCGAAGAGAACGGTTATAGTGCCAAAACATGAAAGCTTTTGTGTAGCGATGTAAATTTTTATATTGTAAAGTATTGTTATAAAAATATTTTAATAATATATTCCTCTACGTTATATTGAGCACTTTTCAAAGTGTAAAAGCTAAGAACTGTATTTTAACTTCATCTGTTCTTTATCTTTCTTAAGATATATATATATATATATATATATATATATATATATATATATATATGGCGCCGGGTTTCGATCCTAGCAAGCGGCAACCGGACGACTAGTCACAATGATGAGCTGTGTTACAGCGAAACAATCTGCCTGTAGATGACAATATATATGTTCCTGAAAAATTATTTCGGTTGAGCTCTCTGGGGAGAAAGTTTGAGTTTGTAAACAGTGACTATTACTGTACTGCTGCAATAAACTCCGATAAAAAGAACCGAGTTGTCTCGGTCACCGGCGTGTTTATCTAAGAATATATACACTTATATTCACCTTTATCCCTGCCGTGCGCCAACGGTTTAGAGGTAGATTCTCCGAATTCAACCGCGTTTCTATTCTAGCTTTGAGGCAACCGGACGTGTCTGTTGATGACAGTATATATATATATATATATATATATATATATATATATATATATATATATATATATATATATATATATATATTAATTATAGAATGAGAAACACTTAAAGTCCCATGAGAATTTTTAGTGTTTGATATTCTTTATTTAATAATAATTTTGCTCTGTCTTTTGACATAGAACTCTGGTTGTATATCCTCCTGGAGATTTCATATGGATTACCATACTGTATCATTAATATTTGTCTATATTTCTGAGATTAGGTATTATGTACATTATTTACATTATTCGGACTATTTCCCTCATCTTTGTCGACATATTCATTACAACGTTTTGGCCGTTGTACGCTCCGGCCTTCTTGGAATGTCGAACAGAACCTCAAGGACACATGGCACAGTGGATAAAGGCGTTAGTTAGATCCAGTGACAAGACACAAAGAGTGTGAGTTCAAATAACCGGCTAAGGCAGTGGAGAACTTTCAGAGGGAAATTAATAGGAGATAACTGACATCCATTAAAGATGACACGTCGGACTAGAACAGTCTACACCAGTGAGCGAAATAAAGGGTTCAGTTCGACATTCGAACCACCTGAAGAAGGCCGGAGCGTACAACGGCCGAAACGTTGTAATAAATATGGCGACAAAGATGAGGGATTTAGTCCGAATAATGTAAATAATATATACACTGCGTGCCAAATTATTATCAAGATAACTTTTTTTCTAATATTTCAAAAACCGTCCAATCAATTCACACAAAAGTTTCACAAAAGGTTGGTAACACTGACCTGCGCAATGCAAACAAACTGGCGCCATATTTGTTTTCAGCACGGTGATTTGAGCGTGCCACATTATTAAAAAAGTGTAATAAATTAGTGAAGAGATGGACCGTAAAAGCAGTTAAATGATGCTGAAAAGAAAACTATCATCTCAGAACTCTCAAAATGTAAATCTACCCTAGAAATTTCTAAAATGATAGGGAGGTGTCATCAAACAGTGAAAAAGTTCACCACCGACCCTACACA